CTTCCTTCCTTCCTTCCTTCCTTCCTTCCTTCCTTCCTTCCTTCCTTCCTTCCTTTCATAGCTATCCACCTTAATCAAAGGATTCTGGATGGTGAACAGTTACAATGTTGTAGAGTCATGTGATCTCCACTTGCAACTTTCATTACCAGCTTTCCATACATGGCGTATTGCAAAAATAAAAGTTTTAAGAGATTACATTTGACACATGATGACAGATGATGGAAAATCTACACTTGGGAGTAGGTGTGGAAATTGAACAATTAGGCTTTGGCAGTGAAACTTAGAGTTAGTTTTTAGGGCATGCAAATGATATTATTTACATGGATTTCTTTAAACCAGACAGCACTATCAGTGCAGTGGGCTACATAGCAACACCTAATATTTTAAAACAACAATTTAACAGCATTTGGAAGCACGTGGCCACTTAGCTGTTAGCCTTCCAAGAGGTAATTGCAAGGTTGGCTTTCACCTTCTTACATAATCAGATAAACAGTTCAAAATTGTTGCCATGCAACTTTTACCTTTTCAAAGTTGAAAAACAAAACCCTTTGTAGGCATCTGATTTAAAATGAGACAGAAAAGACAGGATTTGGCTGAAAAGGCAGAGCATGAAGCTTTCACAGGATGGGTTTAGAAAGCTTGACCTTTATTTGCAGAATTATGTGGTGAATTGATTATGTGGAGGAATAAATTTGGGTAACAAAAGAGCTAATTTCAAGGATTATTTTCCTGTTTCCTTTATTAAATTTTCCCTGTTTATAGTTGTGGAGGTGGGCATTACTTTTCATTCAGTCCTTTTACTTGTTCATAAAGACTGCTCAGTATTTATTTGATGGCTTAAGTAAAACACCATAAATAAGCAATTTTGCTGAGAGAAAAGTCTTATGTTTAGGCATAAGACTTTGTGGTTGTGGAGATTTTTCGTTGAAAAATAATTTTATTTTTTCTCAGCTATTTGTGATACTGAACCAGAAAAACCTGTTAAAAGTTTTCCATTGTGGATAAAAAAAGATGGAGAGGTGGATCCAGAACCAATTTACATCCCAACTGCATCAGATATTGAAGCAACAAAAACTGCAACGTCACCTACTCCAGACATCATACCAACTAATGATAAATCTACAGCAACTGAAGTTAATTCAATGGCCAATGGATTCAAGCCATTACGAGTATATACACCTAGACCCAATCCAGTGGTAAGTAAAAGAAGTACAGTTTAAGGCTAAACCAGAAATATATCTCATTCTGCTTATAATGCAGAATACTGTTCTCTTTTATGAATATATTGGCAGTTTATATAACTGCCAATATATTTCAGATCTTTATGAAGACTCGCTAAATTTCTGACTGCTTCTATAATAATCTAAGTAGCTTTTGTTGGGTCATTTGTGATTATATAACACCGCTATGTTGCTATATGGTTTCCATCCACTGTTTTGTTAAACATTATTGGTTAGATATCTTGGAACTACAGTATTTAATTATTTTTATAGTATTAGTTCATTTCTCTATTTCTTAATTCTTGCTCCATCTCTTAAAAGTTACTTTGATATTCTTTTGTATAGTAGTGAGATAGATCATGAAGAATATAGGTTACTTTAACTTTTTGCTCAGTCATCTGCGAAGGTACATACATTACTTTAAGTGACTGCATAGATTACCAGTTGAACAAGTCACAAATAAAAAATCCTTTTCTCATAAAAATGTTTCATATGTGACAAATGTTCTCAGATCACTTTAATTCTCTAAAATGTATTTCACTTACTTTTATAGGACTATTATGCCCACTCAGGTTTCCCAAATATGTACACTGAAATGGATTTTTAAAAAACTAATGCTTAATCCACTCATTGTCAGACCTCATCCAGCTGAATTTGTTGGTATAGAACATTTATATGATCATTCAACTCAAACAGTCTTGAGTATTGGCACAGTACAAATTTATTAAACGAAAGGAAAAATGGCACATACCAGTAAAAGAAAGTAAAACAATTAAAAGACGATCAGGACTAAAATATTTTATATCTCACTTGACCCAAGTGCCCAGGGAAAGAGCCAGATCTTAACTGACTTTATGAAGGCCCTTGGGGTAAAAGCCCACTAGATATCAGTGAAGAACATACCAAAGGGGAGGGTGGCCATTGAGAACACATGCTTCCTGGATCCTACAAGGGGACACTGTTTCCAGGAAAGGACCCAGAGTGTTTCATCTCTGTTGAGGTATGTGGGATCGGCAGGTATCTTTGGGAGAAGACAATCCCACATATCACCTAGTTTGTTTGGTGTGTTTTTTTTTGTCACAGATGACTTTATAAATAAATTACATCTGGAAGTGTATAGGAGCTAGTGCAGTTAGTTTATAGAATAGAAATGTTACATGGATGTAATGAGGCATACCTACCTATGCTACTACAGTCTAGGCCAACTGAAATCATTCTACACATATTTTTCTTGCTGATGCACTCTCTCACACATAATAACACACCACATCTTAAACATATGACTGTTTCCTTCCTATCTGTACCAACGCAGTAGCAAACATCTTTACTTTCATCTTTATTTCCTCTAGCTATCTTCAGAAATAATTTGTGGAAAGGATTGTTTTCCACTTGTTCATAGTATTTTTCCCAGGGTATCTACTGTATTTTTCAGAGAATAAGATGCTCTGAAGTATAAGACACACCTAGCTTTTGGCGAGGAAAACAAGGGGTAAAAAATCTGCCTCTGGCTCCCAGCAATTTTCCTCCTTGCAGTAAACAGCAAACAGTACAGAAGATATACACTGTTTGTGGTGTTACATTTCAGACGACACTTGTACAGATGATGTTAAAATTGATGTCGCTTTCTGGAAGTATACATTATTCTCTGCTATTTAAAATAAAATACCATAGCACTGGGCCTCTTAGATGAAGCATTTATTTTAAAAGCTTCTTCACATTGTTAAGTTGTCTAAAACAATAATAAAGCAATCTTTAAAAAATAAGTCTAATAATTTGAACATTTTATAGGCATTTATACTTATTGACTTACCTCCTAACAGCAAAAGCCTGATTAGCACAAGAATAAAAAATCTGCCTCTGCCTCCCAGCAATTTGCCTCCATGCAGCAAACAACAAGTTTCACTTTCAATTTCAGCAGGTCCTGATCATCAGCTATTTCAGGCTGCAGGGATTGCCATAGCCTATTGCCATCTCCACAAGCCCCATTTTCTCCATTTGCTGCAAGGAGGTAAATTGCTGGGAGGCAGAGGCCAAAGAATGGGGGCCGGTGGGTGGGCCGTGCTACATTGGGTGTATAAGACACACCCAAATTTTCACCCTCTTTTTTGGGGGGGGAGGTGCGTCTTATACTTCGAAAAATACGGTAAGTGTGTAACAAACTAATGTAACAAACTGCAAAGTGTAATAAACAAAGTGCTCACATGCTTAAGCTATTTTTTTAAAGGACATTAAAAAGAAAATCGCTGAAATACTATTTATTCATGCTGTATCATGTCTTAGCTTTGGGAAGTCTGACAGACAGGCAGTCTATTTTCTTGCTCAATTGGAAACATTTCCAATAAATATTAGTTTTTGAAACATATGCTCCCTTTTTATAGTTATAGAGAAAATGCAAAAGGTGCTTAAATTGTTCAAATGATATAAATGTAACTTACACTTTCATTTAACTGAAAGCTCACTTTGTGTGGCTTATAGATTCGAGAAGAAGATAAGGACCCTGTTTATCTATATTTTGAAAGTATGATGACTTGTGCTCGTGTGAGAATATATGAACGGAAAGTAAAGGAGAAGGGTCAGCAGGAAAAAGCCCCCCAGAATTGTGAAAAACATATTGAAAAGGTAAAGTATTATTGATTATTTTTTAATGCATATCTTTTAAGAAAAATGATAAAATAGTTATTGGGCTGACATTAAACTAGTTAGTAGTATAATTTGAGACATGTTCAGTAATGACCAAACCAGATATGAAACTAAACTTAAAGAAAAGAACTTAGGTGCAGTACCACCAAACTAAATTGTTTATGCGCTTTATTGCGGGCCAAATCATTATTTGTTCTGGAAGACTTTGCTGAGAGAATTATTGGAGTTAGAAGGTGTAATTAACTATAAAGTTGAGGATGGTAACAGGAGGACAATGTGAGGCAAACCATTCCATTTCTCCTCCTTTAAATTCCTTGATCTGTTCTCCCTCCCTCCCTCCCAATAATAATTTTGATGGCGAATTTGGGGGCATTTCTGGTGGTTTTAAGGATATGAATGGATTACCTCCTTGAACCCTTCCACTGCCATCCTTTTCTTAACTCCCTGAAAATACTTAAAGGACATTTCTAAAGATTGTAGGACTAGGTGCATCCTATAGACTTTCTGATCCCATCTTTCTTAGGATTGGAAAAGAAAAGTCAAAATACTTGGGGAGCCAAGTTTCAGCAGCACAATACAGTATTGTGGATGTTGAGGCAGTAACTTTATTAACTCTGGTTATTAAAAGAAATTTCATGTGTTCTATGGGTGATTCTACTTGCATTTGCTTTTCATTCTTTGACTAGAATCCTTACTTTTCCCAGATAAGTTGCAAAATTTATTTCCTCTGACATTGCTTTATACAGGAAAATATGTTCCTAAACATAAATTATGTATTCATAAATATTTTTTTAATGTTTTCATTGCTACTTTGTTTTATGTTACGTCGCACTTGTCATTGACCACAGCAAGTCATCTGTATGTGCATGTGTAGTGTGAATATACATATATACTTATGCAATAATATAATACGTAGAATTATATGCATAGTAATTTTGCAAACTAATACATGGATTTTTTTATTCTAGTATTTGTATTTATAGTGTGTGGCCATCAGAACCATTTTATTTGCTTTTATTAATTTTCTGCTACTACTGTTTTTCGCTCAGAAAGCTTACTTTATTAATTAGATAGTTGATGGAGAAAGATTAAAGTAACTTGGCTATTATAGCCTTTTGAGGAAATAACTAAAAATAACTATTGATAGTACTCTTCAGTAACCTGTGAGGATGTGACATAAAAACAACCAGACGACCTGTTCTGTGTTCTTCCAGAAGGCAGGGCATGAAATGAATTCAAGTTGCAGGAAGTAATATGTTAGAAGGGTCCTTTACTGGTTGAATTCAAGAGAAGCTGGACAGTCATCTGTTTGGGATACTTTAATTTGGATTCCTGTGCTAAGCAGGAGATTGGCCTCCGTGGACTAAATGGCCACCACCAAATTCCATGATTCTGGGAAACAAATATTTAAATTAATATAAAGCATATTTTCTTTCTTGAATTAACAAAAAAAATCTTGCCACCTAGATTTGTCAGCATGGGCTTTTTGGTATTCTAATATTTGTCAGTATTTTAGGACATATGTGAGCAAAGCTTCTGCAACTCTTAAGATCAACTGTACCCTGGATTTGTAGTATCTTAGATGATCTCAGAGGATCTCAGAAAACTGTAATATCTAATGAGTACTTGAATGGGTTATCACCAGCACATATCAGGGCTATAGATTACAACCATTTTTAGCAACTGTTCCAAATTATGTTGGTGCCGAAAAACTGGACTTGCAACCCGTGCCTGAAATTACAGGGGAGGGGAAGATTTCTAAAGACAGAACAACTTTAGCAAAGTCAATGGGGAAGTCAGCAAGGAACTTGTACTCTGGTAAGCCTCCCCCTTCCTGTGCACCATGCTGCATCCTTCCTGGCCTCTCTACTCACATGCTATGCACCTGCATCATCCCTCTCCCTCACTTGCACAGGATCTCCATAGGGGTTCCCAGGGCCTCCTTCATACCTCTGCGCCCCCCTTGCAATCCTCAGCTGGAACTCCCACCACTTTCTGCTTAATGATCTGCACATCTTGCAGTTAGGGTGGAAACCCAGATTACATGTTACATGATGTCATGCTTTATGAGCATTTCACTTAGTCACACAATCCTGGCTCCATTTGCCATTGTAACTCGAAAACTACATGTATTATCCAAAACTATGTGACATGTAATCTATCAATCAGAAAACTGGTAGTTTCTAATTTTTCCATATATGGTTCAGTCTGACTATGTCTCATTTTGAAATATTGGTATATATATTTCTATATTGTTTCCAGGAACATGATGCAGATCCCCAGCCCCTGAAAATTGAAGAGGATAAAGACCCTGGAGGTAAAATTAAAACTTCATCTTAGTCATCATGTTCTTTGTGTAATCAGTTCAGTCACATAGAATTAGTAGAAGATACAGGAAAAAAGACAGATGACAATGAAATATGTAAGGCCTAATTTTTGCAATCTAAACAAAATTGAATATTTTCTCAAAGGAAGAAGCAAAGCAGAACTAAATTGAGGAAACAATGTTCCGGACGAGGAGTGGGTAGATTTAATGCAAATTCCAATTGATTTGTCCTTTCTTAAATGACTTAGACCCTCAATGGTGAATAATTTGTTTTTCTTTATATAACATTCCTGCATCACTCTGGATTGTTCTCTGTATAGTTCAGAAATAAAAGTCAAAAATATGAATTAAAGTATAAATGTATAATGTTAATCATTGCAAGATATTCCATAGGGAACAACCTCTTGTGATTCTGAAGATTGTTAAATAGATTGTTAAATAGTCCTCGACTTATGATGGCAATTGGGACTGGCATTTCCATCGCTAAGCAGTGTGTTCATAAAGCAAGATTTCATCATTTAGCGATGGCAATCCCCGGTGTCCTGGCTGCTGTCTTTAATTGAATCTCATCATCGTTAAGCAACATCTGCTTCCAGACTCCAGCCATTTCTAACTGCTTGATTCTGATAAAGTACAGGTAATCTTCATCTTACAACAGTTCATTTAATGACTGTTCGAAGTTACATGGCACTGAAAAAAGTGACTTATGACCGTTTTTCACACTTACGACCATTGCAGCATCCACACGGTCATATGATTTACATTTAGATGCTTGACACCTAGTTTATATTTATGACGGTTGCAGCGTCCCTGGGTCTTGTCACTTTGTCACTTTTTGACAAAATCTTTCAGTGGGGAAGCCAGATTCGCTTACAGTTGTGTTCCTAATTTAACAACTGCAGTGATTCAGTTAACAAAAGTGTCAAGAAAAGTCATAAAATGCGGGCAAAACTCACTTAATAAATTTCTCACTTAACAACAAATTCTGGGCTCAATTGTAGTTGTAAATTGAGGACTACCTGTATTGTTTTAATATCCTGGAAATTAGAGGAGGTTGAGCACAAAACCACCTCTCCAACCCACAGGCAGCCTTCCACTTAATTTCTGCTCTATCTCTCAAATTCTCATCTTTCTGATCTTTCAGTCTCTCCTCTCAGTCCCCCTCTGTTGAACGATCTATCCTATCACCTCAGCTTCACAATCCACCGCACTTTCAAAACTTTCCAACCTAACTGGAACCTTCATGGCTAAAAGCAGGACCTGAACTTATGGTCTCCAGATTTCTAGCCTGATGCCTTAACCACTTAGACCAAACTCTCTTTGTCTCTTCCCCCCCTCCCACCCGCAACAAGCCAGTTGGTTAGTTCCTGTTGCAACCAATGAATTTTTCATTGATCTGAAAAAAAAGTGGACACTTCACTTATGGAAAAACACTAGAAAGGAAAAAAGAATCACATTGATCAATTATATTTGCATTTCAAATTAGAAGTATAGCTGGAGTACGGCTGTTTCTATTAATCCCATTACATTATCCATATTTTTCAATTATATCATGACATGTTAAACTACAGACTTAATGCAAGATTTATATAAATGTAACTGATGAAGGGAAAAAACCACTCTGCTTCTGAGTGTCTCTAGCCAGGAAATAAAGCATTTGCAAAAACAAGTATTAGCAAAAATTCAAAAATATCAATAAATAATTTTGAAGGGCAAAATTCACAATTGCCAGATAAAATCTAATCAGATACTATCATTGGCAGTAAAACAAGCTTTATATAATTTAGGAAATATTTGAAAGAGTTATAATTATGGTGTACATTGGTATGATAAAATTTGAGCAATAAGAATAATAGAAATGACAGACAATTAGGTAAGCAAAAAGTATGATTTTTAGTAGATTGATCATTTTATAGCATACATTTTCTAAGATTTGTTATCTCAGTATATTACTAAATATATAGCCAATATAAAATTCAAACATGTTTAACATATGCCTAAATATTATAGTTTTATTGTTAATAAAGTATGTTTCTTTTGCTATATTTTCCCTTGTGACTTTTTTTCATGTTGATAAAAATATCTCCAAATTAAATTGTGTAAAGTTGCAATATTTCAGAAACCTTTTCCCATTCTTTCCTAGAGAAAAGCTGGTGGTTTTCCTGTAGTGCTGGGGATCCATCTACTTCTTATGTACATCGTATTACTCCAGATGGCAAAAACAAATTAATTGAGATTATTTCTGATTGCAACTGGGAGGAGGATCGCAAAGAGATCTTGAATATCTTATCACAGCATATCAGAAATAAGATGCCTAAATCACTTAAAGTAGGCCATTTTATTATTGAGCTAGAATCTGAAAGCAAAACTTGGGATGAAAAGCATACACCCATCTATTCTTCTCGAGTGAAAATCTCCATGTTACCATGTCAGAACAAGAACCAAAGCCCTCCGGTCGTTGTTGAGTCACCTAATGCTGGATTGTCACCGTGCCCACCGTGCAAAAGAACAGATAAATTAACAACCCCTGAGAAATTACAGGAACAGAGGAAGAAAGGTTTACCCTTTTATGCAGGAGTTCCTTCTGCCGGAAAGCTGATTGCTAACACATGCAAATATGACATGAATCCCTCAGGTTCAATTCAGGTATGGGATTCTTCTGGGATAGTTTGGCTTTCAGTATATAGAATTCCACCTCCACCCCTAATATTTGTTAGTAATTGTTGTTCTTAAGTGGAGAGGGACGGAATAGGACAAATAGGATTCCTGATCTTATTTGAAGAGACACTCTAAACTCTCTTATTACTTGATTTTTTTCCTTGCAAATACTCTTGCCACATTGTAAACAGATTAGCTTTCTTTCTAATTTCTTGCCTATTAGTATTGATTGCTGGCTTTAACCTCTTTTAGTCCTAATCTTGGCCATGTTACTGAAATAGAAGGCAGTGTGTTAAAACATTCAAGTCAAAAATTGTAAGTTTATTTGTGCTTCTTGAGCTAACAGGAAGGGTAAACAGCCTAGAAATTCTTCATTTATCAATCAGAAGGCAATTTGTCCAAGTACAGGTAGTTTTCAATTTATGAATATAATGGAGCTGCCCATTGCCGTTGTGATGGTCATAAATTGGGTCCCCCACATGACTGACCCAATTTTATTAACTTTTTGCTTTGTTTATTAAGTGAACACTGGTTTTTAAGGGAACCCATGTTTCATTATGGGCATGGTTTTGCCAAAAATTGGAAGTAAATTCTAGTTTTTGGCAAAACTCATAAAATGCAGTGACATGACCATGGAACGCTGCAAAGGGCTGTAAATGCAGCTCTATTGCCAAGTGCTCAAGGTGTAGTCATGTGATTGTGGGGAGTGGGAACAGCTGGAATCTTAAATCTGGGTCATGTATACCCAGGAAGTTCCATTGTGACTTCAAACGGTTGTTAGCAACTAATCATAAGTTGAGGACTACCTGTATCTGATCCATAGATTTCTGAATAAGGAAAGGGTTTTGTTACTTGGAGCATGGAATTTTTTAAAAAGTAAAACACATGACCAAGCTCTGAATAAAAATACTTTATTTAGAATAAGATGGGTTAAGAATAAGTTTCCAAACAGCAGTAATTCATGTGCTACAAGTTGCTTTTTAAATTGAAATAAATTTTAGAAGTTCAATGGAATTGATTTCAGCTTTTTTTTTTAATGACACCACTATTCTATTGCTTTAAATTAAATCAGCATCGATGTTCTAGACTCTGTTGAACCATGCTGTGGTAGTGGGTGTGGCATTTTGCCTCTTTTATTTCAGGTTAATGGTAAAAACTCTCCTCAAGCCAAACTTCTTTTGGGACAGATGGGAGCATTGCATCCAGCCAGTCATCTAGCAGCTTATCTCACGGGTAGACTGCAATCAACCATGTTTGATCTCTCAACAATGATCCTCAAAACAGCACCCAGTAATAAACTTGCTGTTTCTGAATCACTACCAACTGATGTGTCCACATCAGAAACATCTAAAACTCCATTTTCTACTGATACTACAACAGTCTCCACTGCTCGTGTCTCAGCACAGAGACAGATAGGTAGGTCAGATTTTTTTCTACTGTATTCTAAAAGAAATGAATGGATGAATGAAAACGAAGATGGCTTTGTTCTATCATGTTGCCTAATGTCATTGATTCTGATATACTGCTAAGCCATCCATGGAGAAAAATGACAAGACTTAAATTAAAAACCAAGAGGATCGGGAGGCCTGAGAGTGGAAATAAAGAAGTTCTGAAGAATCGAAAAAACTTTTTGGATGAGAAGTGAAACATTTTCAAAGAAAACAAAAACCAAAAAAGTCCAGTTGCCTTTTAGAAAAAGCATATTTGGGACATTGGGACTAAGTGGCTGCTTCTGCCCATACCTCTGTTAAACTCTGTGTTTCATTTTTTTTTAAACAATGTATTTTATTTTAGGTGTTATTCAAAACTAAAATATTAGGAAATACTTTGTAATAGCTTGTTTTAATTTTTTCAGAAAAAGTTTTTTCTCTATTTTTTTCTGTGATTTGTCCCTAACTTTGACATTACTACTAAGCTTCATGTAAGGAAACAGAAATGCCAACTCAGAAATATTTTAAACTATTTAAAATTAGCTTTTGCTAGCATGTAACCATTTTTATATCTATTGTCCTTACATGGATTCATAACTGAAGTTTTTAAGACGTGGGCAGGATAGGAGACTTTCTTCTATACTTGACCTCCTTTAGTAAGAAGATACAATATTATCTTGGGCAAATAATTTTGGTCATACGATTGAACTAGAAAAATTGCAACAACTATGGGAAAGGATCTATAAACTAACCATATCAACAGCTTACAAAGAAAACTTACAAAATGTTTTACAGATGGCACATGTCACTGGGAAAACGAGCCGAGCTGAGATGTTTAAAGACAAGTCAGCGAAATGTTGGAAATGTTAATAAGCAATAGNGGGGCCAGCCAGAGGTGGTATTTACCAGTTCTCCAAACTAATCAAAACTTCCATTACCAGTTCTCCAGAACTGGTCAGAACCTGCTGAATCCCACCTCTGATTCCATTCTATTTTCCCAACTTTCCATTGCAGCAGTTTCCCATCATACTCAAGGTCAGGGGTGAAATTCAGCAGGTTCTGGAGAACCGATAGTAGGCATCTTGAGTAGTTCAGAGAATCAGCAAATACCACCTCTGGCTGGCCACGCCCCCATCTGTTTTCTGCCTCCCGAATCCCAGTTGATCGGGAGGAAATGGGGATTTTAGCAATATCCTTTCCTTGCCACGCCCACCAAGTCACGCCCACAGAACCACTAGTAAAAAATATTGAATTTCACCACTGCTCAAGATTGACCAAAACACAGAAGCTTGTTTGGGGCAAGGAGCTAAAAGGATGGAGGTAGAAGTAAGGGTGATTCTCACTTAAATTGGGATCATTTGGGAAAGTGGGGAGCTGATTGGCCACAATCTTTTTGGTAAAAGGAGTTTGATGTATTTCTTCAACCAAGCGATTCTAAGCAGTGCTTAAAAAAAAACAGAGACTGTGGAAAACTAACAATAATTTATTTATTTATAAATAGGGCATATAGCTTCCATTGATGTAATCTGAAGTTCATAGCAAACCCTTACCATACAGTGACAGAAATGCAATATATAATTACAGTGAAAAATACAGTTAATATAATATGCTGAGTAACAGGAATCCTATAAGGCAAAAGCCTTTAGGCGAGCTACGTTTTTGCAAGCTGGAAGGTTAAAAGAATGGGAGCCATCCTTGCCTTTGGGGTAAAATATTCCAGAAAGGTGGAGCCCTCATTGAGAATTCCCTACGCCTCAGTGGCGTAACAATTTCTGCTCGGTGAGCAGACGATCCGAGATAACAAGTTAGAAGATTCCATACCTTTTGTCCCAAGGTAGCCCTTCATTTTATTTCCTTCGTTCTTTCATATTTTTTTAGAATAGAATAACAGAGTTGAAAGGGACCTTGGAGATCTTCTAGTCCAGCACCGCTGAAGCATGTTGAACCTCCTGAATACAACCTCCGGTGGACAGGATCACATGGCTTGAGGTCCAGGGGAAAAGGGAAAAGATGTTGAGAGTGCCTGGGTTTTATGCCCCTCTCTGGGCTTTTGAATTTGGGCTTGTATTCTGATTGGTTGTCAGACTCCCATGGGGCCATGCAAGGAGAGCTCTGTAGGCTGTCCTAGGTCCCAGGCTTGGTTGACTCTTTCTGGGTGATGATGTAATGAAAGGGATTTGGGATACCTGTTATGGCTTTGTCTAAAGGAGGTAGATCTTTGTTATGTAGAATAGCCTGTCCCAGGTCTTAATTTCCCATTGACAAAGCGGGGTGGCTGAGTTTATGCCTCCCTTTTAGGGGAAATATTCTGCCCTTGTAATATTTCCTAAAATCTTTTATTTTTCTAGGAGAGGGGTGGGTGCTAACTTCCTACCGCACCATTCCTGAATCTAAGAGAAGTAATGTAATGTAGTTCTGTGCAAAGCCCCCCCATTTCTATCCAGGCAGCCGTTCTTCGTGTGGATGCTTCAAACGGTGCCTAGTAGTCATATGAATACGTTGTCCTTGAGATGTCTGGGATTCCACATCAAGAAACAAAATTGTGACTAACCATGCGGAAATGACTTCATGGTATCTTACAGAAAAGAATTCCATCCCATTATAAAGGACCAAACCTCAGCTGTATCAGATCTAACTTACAAAAACATACAAGGAATTCCTTTTTTTCTTTTTTTGCTGAGGACCCATTGTGAACTCAGATTGAACTCTGTGTATAAATAAATTCTCTCCAGTGTGGTCTCTTCCGGGGTGGCCTAACTCTTTTTGGACGGTCTTCTTATCTGCAAAGTTCACCAACATCCTTCCCTCTCTTTCTAATGTTCAAACTTCAAAGATCATTGGCCAATGTACAGTACATACATTTAACAGATTAACAGAGTTGGAAGGGACCTTGTAGGTCATCTAGTCCAANCAAGTACCCAGGTCCAATACCATGAAGGGCTTTATAAGTGACGACTAGCACCTTGAAGCGATAGCTAATTGATCAGGCCCGTTGTAAAATGCCAGCAGAGAGAATGATTAAACACGTTTCCCACTCAGGGCATTGCACACAGCTATTGTTTGAATTATGTGTCTGTGCATTACGCTGTTGGCGTTCAAAGGGCCGTGCATGTGGCCCACACCTACACACTTAACACTCTGATATTGGGATGAATTCCAAAGCCTGCTGGTCTATAAATATCTAGGCTGTGCAAGTGACACCTATTTTACTATTCGTTTTTAAGGGAGAAAGAGAAAGAGAGGTGTGTTTGCCCGCCGTTTCAATTTCTGCTAAAACATTCTTGGCAATGTTCTTATTTATTGTATTAAGAAGCACATTAGAACGTCGAGTGGTGGTTGCTGGTTAAGTTGCTGCCATGCTTAGGTAGTTATGATATTGCCCACTTTACTCAAAAAGAATGCAGAATAACAAAGTTGGAAGGTACCTTGTGCGTTATCTAGTCCAAACCCCTCCTCAAACAAGAGACCCTATATCAGGGGTGTCAAACACAAGTTTCTCAGCAGAGGTGGGTTGCTCCTGGTTTGGTCCGGTTCAGCTGAACCGGTAGTGGTGATTTGGCCTGGGTCGCAGAACCGGCCACAACACAGGCTGGCCATGCCCACGAACCAGTTTCCCCCATCTCTTCTGCCATTGCCAGCATGTTTCTGCACATGCGCAGAACAATTTACAGTGAACTGAGCATGTGCGAGTAACACGTGGCACGTGTGAAGCAAACCGGTACCAACCGGTACAGGAACCCACCCCTGGTCACGGGCCAGATCCATCCTGTGATGTGGTCGGATCCAGCCATTCTGGAAAATGTAAGGAGCCAGCCTGCATCACTCCAGCCGGTCTACCCAATGCGAAGGGGAAACATGCCAGCAATTCGGGGAGTGGCATCAAGCTGGCCACACTCACCCAGTCACCCACACCCAGTGAGTGGCATCAAGCTGTCCATGCCTATCCAGTTGGCCACACACACCCAGTCAGCCACACACGGCCGCTGCCCCCCCCCCCGAGGTCAACCACAGCCCTGATGCGACCCTCAATTAAATTGAGTTTAACACCCCTGCCCTATACCATTTCTGACAAGTGACTGTCCAGTTTCTCCTTGAAAGCCTCCAGTGATGAAGCACCCACAGCTTCTGAAGGAAACTTCTGTTCCATTGGGTTCTCACTGTCAGAAAATGTCTCCTTATTTCGAGGTTGAATCTCTCCTTGATCACTTTCCATCCATAGTTCCTTGTCTGGCCTTTGGCTGCTTTGGAAAATAGATTGTCCTTCTCTTTCTGGCTGAACCTCAAAGGCGGCACTGCCTTTGTCCTTCGATAGCACATAATGAGACTCATTTTCTTTTCTTCTGGGTCAAGTGTTAACATCATGTGCTTCTCTGACAAGCCACCCTAATGAGAGAGAAAGTACAATGCAGGCTGGCTCGCTTTGGGCACTTGGAGAATCTATTGGGGAAGAAGATATCTTGATGGCCTGACTTATTCTGGAACAGAAGGTTCTAACCTATTTTTCACACGGTTACCAGCTATTTGAAATTCTAACACCATCCTCCTCTCCCTTCTTGATTGAGGGATGTGCTCTTTTTTCCCCCCCCAGAACTTGTACAGTGTAGAAAGATGACAAAATTCTGAGCTCTTTCTTCTCTTGGAGGTCAACGGTTCATTCTCCTTTTGTTTCAGAATCTGATGAAGAGCAGCTCCTGATGAAAAGGTGGCTGGCAATAAAAAAAATCCAATAAAAAGCAAACTGACTTGCCGGTTTCAATCTAGCATTAGGGGATCGGTAAAGCAGCCATTTCCCAACATTCCATTCTGTTTCTGCAACATTCCATTCTAGTCTCCCAACATTCCATTCTATTTTCCCAACATTCCATTCAGTGGTGGGATTCAAATTTTTTTATTACCGGTTGTGGGGATGGCTTGATGGGTGTGTGGCATGGCTTGATGGGCGACGCAGGGGAAGGATACTATAAAATCCCTATTCCCTCCCCACTC